AAAAATCCTCACCACTGGACCAACAAACAGCATTCTTATCAACGGAGGAAAGATTGAAGTTGTCAAGGACTTTATTCTTCTTGGATCAACTATCAACAGTTGCGGAAGCAGCAGTCAAGAGATCAGACAACGAATTGCATTGGGCAAATCTGCTTCACAGGAACTTTTTAAAGTATTGAAGAGCAGAGATGTCAGCTTGAGGACTAAGGTGCGCCTGACCCAAGCCATGGTATTTTCACTAACCTCATATGAATGCGAAAGCTGGACAGTGAATAAGGAAGATCATAGAAGAATTGATGCCTTTGATTTGTGGTGTTGGAGGAGAAAATGTGCCATGGACTGCCAAAAGAACCAATAGATCTGTTTTGGAAGAAGTGCATCCAGAGTGCTCCTTAGAGGCCAAGATGGCTAAACTTCATCTCTCATACTTAGGACATATTGTCAGGAGGGAACAGTTGCTGGAGAAGGAGGTCATGCTGGGTAAGATGGAGGGTCAGAGAAAGAGAGGAAGACCCCCAACAAGATGGATCGGCCAGGTGGCATCATTGATGGCGTCAAGTGTGGGGGCGGTAGTGAGGTTGGCCCAGGATTGGACATTATTTCATTCTGCTGTGCATGGGGTCGCTATGAGTTGGTTCCGACTCGATGGCACCTGACAACAACAACAATATTGCCTATTATTTTGAGAAAATGGTATTTAAAGAAACTCTGTATTGATAATTATTCTCTTTCTGCCATGATAGCTTTTTTATGTAATCTGTGGGCTAGTTTGTTTGTCTTTTGTTAATGCACAGGTAGCAGATGTCCTTCAATTTTCTATGGAAACAGGTGGCTTTCTTCCGAACTGCATCAGTACTTTGCAGGAGAGTTTAACCAGACATCTTAAAGTAGCCCCTAAATATGTCTCCTTTCTAGAAGAGAGGCAAAAACTGATTCAGGTGAGTGTTAAAGGATGTCCTCATGTTTTGTTACTTTTTTCACATATTTTCTCAGCAGGATTATTAACCTGTTATAATGACCAGCTGCTATGTAAGATTATGAGCGTTGCCCAAATTTTAGTTGTTCCAATGGGAATAAATTTGTTTGTGGTTAAGTATATAATACCCAGGATCTAGACTTGTTGGTTATGAATTAAAATATGCTCTGAAGTAAATGACAAGTTGGGACAAGGAGGGATTTTCACGTGACCTGGAATTAAGAGAGCAGAGCTCAAATCATGCCAGCTGCTTCTCCCAAAGCAGATTTTTTAGCTTTTAACAGAAATTAGTTATATTAGCCTTGCATGCAAATGTAGATCATGATTACATTAGCTACAATTGGTCATATAATCAGTAGCTTCATAAGATAATCACTGGATTGCAAACTATAAGATCAGTGTTTAGAGCCCAGCAGCTGCTTTTGTGGGAGAAAGATGAGACTTTCTGATCCCCCAAAAGATTTAAAGCCTTGGAAACCATATACAAGGTTGCTGTGAGTTGAAACCGACTCATGGCACTTAACAACAACTGCCTCTGGCTTTGAATAGGAAGTCCTGATATCTGTGTCTGTCTATCTGCCTTACACGTGTGCATGCACGTGTGCATGCATTCACACTAGAAAGCTAGTGTGAATATAGAAGGTAATAACTGAAAAACAAAATGACAGCATCTTAAATTAAACGACAGTTGAATAGACAGTTTACAATTTTGCTTACTATTCAGAGAAAATTGTTTTGGTGTCTAGGAAAATCCAGATGTGTGGTTCACACGACCTCTTTCACCCACTTTGCTAAAAATTTTGGCCTTGGAAGCTACCTACCTGCTACCACTTCGATTGGTGCTCCTAGATGAAATGATGTCTGATCTAACCACCCTCGTGGATGGGTACTTAAACACCTATCGAGAAGGGTCGGCAGACCGGCTTGGAGGCATGGAGGTAGGAATAATACAAAAATAATATCAGGAACAATGCAAATATAACCATTATTTTAACATTTTCCTGAAGCTATTAGACAATGTAGTTAAAACCAGAACTTTGAACCATTTCTTTCTGGTTCAATCATGGTTGATAAATTAGTGAAGTATAGATGAACCGAATCAGTATCTGGTATGGGAGAAATTGTGTCATCGCCCTGAAGAAATTTAATCTCCCTCTTAGAAAACAAGGGCAGTATGTACATTGCATAGCAATCAAATCTTTTGACAGGCAGATTCAGAATCAGTGGTGTCTCACTCAAATTTTGGTGCTGAGCACACTGCTTTGAATGTGTGTGTGTGTGTGTGCTGTTCTCCACAGTTCTGGCAATCATCCAGTGTCCTGCATCAGGCTCCTGAAGGACCTCACTGTACCTCTTCTGAGTGCCTACTCCAGGACTTTGACTTGTCATTGTTCCCATTCAAGTGGTGGTTCTGCTTCACTCCAAATTTTAAAAGTCAAGTCTGTTCTTATTTCACTTCATTAGCCATGACTGAACCAGTTTTAAGTAGTTCAGAGCTCTGAATTAAATAAAAAGATATGAGTTATAAAAACTGAAAAGGACAGATCAGAATTCTATGACCTGCAGACAACTTGGAAACTGAAGAAAATAGATAGAAAAGACTACCACAAACAAAAACACTATATAGTGAGGTGATTGGATATAAATGAAGTATATAAATATTAATAACTTTTATATGCTCATATAAGCAGTCCTGGTGTGTCACTGTTGGATAAGCACTTGACCATAATGTTGGTTTGAACAATAATGTCGGCAGCTCAGACTCACTAGCCAGCCCTCAGAAATGCTGTCCAGGGAAGCTGTGAGTCAGAGCCAACTTGACTGCACTGAACAACACATAAGTAGCTAAGAAATAGAATGAGAGAAAAGATCTCATTTATCATTGTAACACAAAGGATAAGTTATCTAAAAATAAAACTGAAAAGAAATGTGGAATCTATAGATAAAACTAAAATATTATGGAAGAGCATAAAAGAATACTTCCATAGATGATTAGGAATACTAATTATCAGTTATTCCTAAATTTATGAATTTACCTCCAATCAGATAAAAATATTAACACTAGTATCATTTTGGCTAGCTGTAATTACAGAATTTATGGAGATTAAAAAAAAAACATGCAAGAATAGTCAGGAGATTTTTGGGAAAAGTATATTGAGGGAAGACAAGTCTTGGCAGATTTTAAAGCATATTATAAAAATATAAGTAAGACAGTTTGGCATTGGTACATGTATAGACAGATCACTGAAATAGAGTATACAACCCAGAAATAGACCAAATATGTTTCTGCCAATACGGTTATGATAAAGGTAGTATTTCTGATTAGTGGGAAAAAGGCCTTAGGAAACTTGACTATTGTGGAGGAGGAGAATCAGAGTTAAATTGCTACCTCTTTCATTAAATTAAAATAAACTTCAGATGGATAAAGTATTTATGTAAGAAATTGATCCATAAAATTATTAGAAAAGGTACATAATTAAAAAAAAAAATCGCAGTAGGGAAGGCTTTCCTATTCGGCACCATAGAAGAAAATATTAATAAATTTGACTTTAAAATTTTTGTATGGCAAATATAATATGAACAAGTTAAAAGGAAAACAAACTCAGGAACTTATTTGCCTCATGTAACAAGAGGATGTTTTATTAATAAATTATCATAATATTTATGTAATAAGATAAGACTGGAAACAACCCAAATATCTACCAGTAAGTATTGGGTGAAATAAATTGTGATACACCAATTTACCCCTTTAAAAACATCAGTATGGAGAAATCATCAAGTCTAAATTTTATTGAATGAAGTCAAGATATAGAAGAATGTATAATAGTATGCTACCATTTATATAAAATTATTTTAGTAAGAGTTATCAAACTTAAACATTGAGAGAAAGTTAAGACTTTCAAAATATAAACCAATGAAAAAAATAAACATTTAGTAAGGAATATACATTATCATATATACATAGATTATCTCTGGGAGTCTACACAAGATCTGCTTTTATGGAGGATACACCTGATAAGGCAACTGGTACTAAGTTGGGAGACTTCCTTTTCAGTATATAAACATACACACATACATCCCACAACTATGTGGATTCATTTCCTTTTCAAAATATTTAAGTTACTTGAAAAATAGTGTTACTATAGGTGGAGAACAAATAAATCTGTGTTGAAGAAGTATAGCCAGAGTTCTCTTGAGGAGAATGACTGAGGAGACATTGTCTCACATATTTGGACATGTCAGGAAGGACCAGTACTTGAAGAAAGAAGTAGCGGGTCGATGAAAAAGAGGAAGACCCTCAATGGAATGGATTGACACAGTAGCTGCAACAATGGGCTCACACATAGGAATGACTGTGAGGATGGTACAGAAATGGGCTCACACATAGGAATGACTGTGAGGCAGTGTTTTATTTGGTTGTACATAGAATTACTTTACGTTGTAACAGATGCAAAAACACCTAACAGTAATAACAAAAAGGTGGAGCAAATGGTTAAGTGGTTGACGACTGGCAGAAAGGCTGAGGGTCTGAACCAACCCAAAGGCACCTTGGAACACAGACCTAGCAACTTGCTTCCAAAGGGCCACAACTGTAAATACCTTATGGAGCAGTCCACACATGGGTCACCATGAGTTGGAATTGACTCCACAGTAATTAACAGCCATAGTTGAAGGTCACTAGAGGGTGCTATATGAACATATTTGAATACATCCTTGGTTGCTAAATACTGTTAAGTATAATAGAAGTGATTTTAAGTACCATATTAAGAAGTTTAAGTATAATAGACTTGTGTTCATTTTCTTTTTCTAGCCTACATGTATGGAACTTCCAGAGGAACTGCTTCAACTCAAGGACTTCCAGAAGCAACGCAGGGAGAAAGCTGCGAAAGACTATAGGGTGAATGCACAGGGACTTCTAATAAGGACAGTGTTACCGCCAAAGAAATCTGTGACAATGACAGTGGGGAAACAAGGAAAAGTAAGAGGTTTCTTACTTTGTGAAAATTCTAGGGCAGATAATGCTCCAAGTTTTGCATCTTATAAATCTCATGAGGATGTGAATTTGTTGAAACAAGCATCTAAGAGTAAACAAATAAAAGCAAAACCTCAACATCCACCTCCCTTAAAGGAAGTAGAAGCAAGTGATGATTCCAGTAACAAATTAATTTGTTCTGTGTCCAAGGGGTTAGAGGACCAAGCAATAACTCAAAAAGAATACCCTAAGATACCTAAACATGAATTCCAGACAAGTCTATCTTTGAAAGAAGAGATAGAACAGTTATTGATGGTAGAAAACAAAGATCTTAGTTGCACAAAACAAGATGTTTCATTATTTCCAAGTGACACCTTTCATCCTTTAAGAAAATCTATACCTTCCTCACTTCCTCCCTGTCCAGCCTTGGAGAATACTGATTCCTGGATAAATCCTTCTCTAATTCTGCCTTAGGTGCATTTCCCCCACCATCAAGGCTTTCATTTGGAGTTTACCATTCAGGGCTTAAGTTCCTCATGTAATTTTAGTTAGATCTTAGTCATAGGCTTCAGGGAAAATTGTATCCTCTTGCCTACCACCTGCATTCCAAGTATTTGGATTAGGATGGAAATTAATTAAGTTAAATAATGGAAGATGTAAATTTTCTGATTATGTCACTGTACAGAAATGCTCTCAGTGGCCAGAGTAAATTATTTTTCATAATTGGGTTTAGAGGAAGATTTTAAGAAGGGAAAAATCTTGGGTTAAGAAAAATCTGTACTTTTTCAATTTTGTTTTATGAGTTATTTTTTAACAAAATTTTAGGTTTGTTTGAGGGGGGTTGGTAAAACTCTTAGCAACTCTGCCATAAGTTAAAAAAAATTGATACTTGACAATTTACTATTCATTTTCTCCTTTAAAAAATAACTTACATTTCTGAATTACTAATTAAACATGACTCTGTCATAAATGGACAATAATGTAGGTATCAGTAACCCATTTGTAATTAAAACTTTTTTTAACTTCATCTACTTTTCAAAGATTCTGTCCATTTTCTAACAGAGCAGAGGTTCTGGAATTCTTTATGGTATGTAAGGTCACTATGAGTTGGAGCCAACTTGACAAACGAAGCAACAACATTATGTAAACTTGAAGTTTTGATTCCTTTCTTTTTGCCTGTAGTTGGTATGCTTTCTTAGGATGAAGGAAAGATACCTTGTACCAAGCCTTTTTTATTTTAAATACATGAAAATTGCTCACATTTTTTTGTGTGAAATAAGCAATAAACCTATTTTATCATTTGATTATCTTCCACTTTTCGTTCTTAATTGGGTAGAAATAAATTGATAAATGTTTAGATTTCTCGGTCTGCAGGCTAGTTTAGTAATCTGTAATATGAAATATTATAGGACTCTATTACTTATGACATTTAGGGGAAACTTCTGGACAGTCTAAGATTAGAAGAATCCTCATCTGGTTCTGTTTCAAGTGCCACTGAAAGAATTGTTGCACCTTCAAAATCTAGAGTTCAGATCTAGTCTAAGCTAAAATTAAGATAGGCCCAAGAGCAATTGACTCAGCCCTGCAATTGCCTTATCCTTAGTTCAGAAAGCCACTGAGGCTAAGGGGTCTGGTTCTGCTTGTATAAATGCATCTTCAACTTAAGCCCAATCTTAGGCTGAATTCTCTAAAGGAGGAAAACCAGTGATGTGGTACACATAAACATATAAGGGGGCTTCAAAAAAGTTCATGAAAAAATGGAATTAAAATACAATGGAATTTTTCCATGAACTTTTTGAAGCTCTCTCATATATATTGTTGTTGTCATTAAAAGCCATCAGGTCGGTTCTGACTCATAGCAACCCCGCATAGTGTTTTCGAGGAGCAGTTGGTGAGCTTGAACCACCAACCTTGTGGTTCAAACTGACTTTGCAGTCCAGTGCATTAACCCACAGCACCACACTAGGACTCATATAAATATTGTTGTTGTTAAGTACTGTGGAATCGGTTCTGACTCACAGTGACCCTACACAGGGTTTCCAAGGCTGCAAATCTTTACGGGAGCAGAAAATCTCATCTTTCTCCCGCGTAACAGCTGGTAGTTTCGAACTGCCAACCTTGAGGTTAGCAGCCTGATTCGTAAATATAGAGAGATTTATTTCAAGGAAACGGCTCATGCAGTTGTGGAGACTGACAACTGCCAGATTACATGGGTCAGGCTGGAAGCTTCTACTAATTCACATGGTTGCAGGGACTGATGAATTCAAAATCAACAGGTCAAATGACACACCGCTGGCTCACAGTGTTTTAGCAGCTGATGAGTCTCCAAATATGCAGGTCAGGTGGCAAGCTGCAATGTGCCATTACTCAGATTTCTTGGCTAAATCTTGCCATGAATCTTTGAGAAATTTAGGGCCCTTAACCATTGTACCACTAGGGCCCCTTGGGAGGTAGGGTAGAGCCAAAGAAAGAAATTGAATGTATAATTTAAAACCTTCCCAAAGAAACTTTGTACCCAGATAGCTTCACTGGGTGAATTGTATCAGATTATTTTTAACAAAGGTACTAAGGTATTTCAGTGCAGGGAAAATGTTCTGTTCAACAAATAGTGATAAAACAACTAGATATTCATGTGGGGAAAAAATGGAAGCCAACCCTTACCTCCTACCAAACAAAAATATTAACTGAAAATGGATGATAGGCATACATGTACAAACTATAAAAACTGTCAAAAGAAACAGCAGGTTATCTTCACAATGCTAGGATAGACAAAAATTTCTTTCTTAGAATACAAAAAGCACAAAACATTTTTTTAAAATTGTAAATTAGATTTCATCCCAATTTAAAAGTTCTCTTTCTCCAAGATATTTCTAAGAAAATGAAAGGCAAGCCAAAGACTGGGAGAATGTATTTGGAAAACATATATCTTGATAATGGACTTGTATCTAGTAATGTAAAAAGAAATCAAATAGTTGATAATAAAACAATCCAATTTTTAAATGTGCAAAATATTTAAACAGACATGTCACAAATGAAGATATAAGTATGTCTAACAATAATAACAATAACATGAAAATATGTTCAGTATTGTTTTTTATCAGTGAAATTTAAACCTCAGTGAGATATAATTACACACTTAGTAAACAGTAACAACCACAAAAAAAACCTTGCAGGGAGTAAATTCTGACACATAACCACTCAGTGCTGTTGATAGGTGCTGTCGAGACTGTTCTCACTTACAGCCGCCCTAAACACAACAAAGTAAAGCACTGCTTGCTCCTGTACCAACTTCAGAATTACTGTTATGTTTGAGACCATTGCTGCTGCCATGGTGTCTATCCACCTCTTTGGGGGTCTTCTTCTTCACTGATCTGCCACTTTACCAAGCATGATGTCTTCTCAAAGGACTGGCCCTTCCTGGCAACATGTCCAAAGTATGAGAGATGTCATCCTTTCTTCTAAGGAGACTTATGGCTGTACTTTGTCCAGGACAGACTCTATAGGACAGAATCAAACAGCCCTATAGGGCTTCCAGGAGTTCTGGTGTTGTGCTGTAGCACTGGACTGCTAACAGCAAGGTTGACAGTTCAAACCCACAAGCCACTCCTCAGAAACCTTATATAGGGTGGCTGTGAGTCAGAACTGACTAGATAACACTTAATAATAACAACATAGGGCTTCTGATGCTAAAAACCTTCATGGAAGCAGAATGACAAATCTTTCTCCCATGGTGTGACTGGTGGGTTCAAACTCTGAACCATTTGGTAGCAGCCAAGTGCTTAACCACTGAGCTACCAGGGTTCCTCACACACTCACTATGGAGTATAAAATGAAAAAGACCAAGAGTAACAAATAAAGGTGAGAATGAGGAGCAATCAGACATTGTTGGTAAGTATGTAAAATGAAAGAAACACTTTGGAAAAAGTTCTATTTCTGAAAAGTGCTATATACATGAATCATGTGACCCAACAATTCAACTCTTAGGCATTTATGCCTTAATAAAGTTGTTTGTATGTGTGTGTTTTAATCAGAAAGACTGACAGTACCAAGTGTTACAGGATATGGAGCAACTGAAACTGTAAAATGCACCACATTAGAAAACAGTTTGGCAATTTCCTGTAGTAGTTATCATCTACTAAACACTCCTAGGGATTTACCCCAAGAATAATGTAAACATACATGGGGGCATCAAAAAATTTGTGGGAAAATTCCATGTTTCCACACATAGATGTTCATTATATACAGATGTTCATTACTGATTTATTCTTAATAGCCCAAAACTGGAAATAGCCCTCACTTCCAACAAGAGGTAAATAGATAAGCAAATGGTAACATATACACACAATAGAACATTATCCAGCAATAAAAGAGGAGCAGACTATCAACATGCAACAACATAGACAAATCTTTTAAAAATTTGCTAAGCAATTAGAAACCAGATACATACTGTATATGCTGTATGAGTCTATTGTATTCTTATAAAATTCTGATGAAAGCAAAACTGATCTATGGGGACAGAAGGAGATCAGGGTTTGTTTGGGTTTAAGGACAGGAGTTGGGGATTGAAGCAAAGGGGCACAAGAGAATTGTTTGAGATGATGTGAACCTTCTATATCTTGATTGTGGTGGTGGTTACATGAATGTCATTTGTCAAAACATATTGAACTGGATACTTAAAATAGATACATCTTATTATATTTAAATTTTGCTACAATAAAGCTTGCTAAAATTTTTTGGAAGCCACTGGTCTAGTAAGTGTAAAAAAAAGTATTAGGGTTACAGCATTATGTTAATGATATCACTGAATGGAAGCAGCAAATATGTGTTGCTATTATAGTCTGATAAAAATATTTTAAAGACAAACAGCAATATATGGACATGGTTATAAAATAAGCAGTACAGAAAAGCTTATAATAAAAATCATTATCCTCATCTTTTTCCAGTCTCAGTTCTGTTACTTAGACTCATAACAGCTCTCGAGGACTTTTTAATAATTTTTCATTTTCCCCCCTGAAGAACTAGAATGTAACCCAGTATAAGTGGAACATTTGAGGAAAGGCATTTCATGTGATGTAAACCAAAAGGACCAATAACTTAAGTCCAATGCTGCTAATCTCTTTACACTCAAACAGTAGTATCTCTGATTTGTATGAGAGATTTCCACATCTGGAGCGCTTTAATTCCCTAAAGTGAGTTATTGTTTATAACTTGAAAGCCACCTGATGTTTAAACCCTGAGTGTTTTAAATAAGAGCCTTGTAATGAAAACAAATTACAATTAAAACATTCCTGAAGAATAGCCAAAACTCAGTGAGTTCCAGGAATGAGGGAAATAAGTTCTCTTTGTAATTGTGTAACTTGGGATACCATCCATAGTTTGCTTTAATTCACCCCTCTAAACTTAATTTTGTTGTCGATGTTGAGAATACACACAGCAAACCATACACCAATTTTTTCTACAGGTACAATTTAGTG